GAAATCTAAAAGAAATGGGAGTGTAAACCCCTCATATTTTGTTGTATTTGGATGAAAATCTTCCTGTTATCGATACTGTTGTTTATTATCATTATTATATTAACCACGACTCTCCAAAAAGAAAAAAAAAAGTATTCTCAGTTGTTACTATTCTCTGTGGGTCAGTGTATATATCTATATATCTATATCTATAAATATAGATAGATATATAAATCTATATTTATTACCTTCCTTGTCGTTTTTTCACTACACTATTGAGAGACTTTTCTTTCTGTAGTGAAGATAGACCAAACTCTTTTTTTTTTTCTCTTTTCCACTTTCGTAATTCCCCACTCCACTCCCATTTGCTCATCCTTAAAAAAAAAAAATAATAATAATAATGATTATCTTTACTTTTTCTCACTATTCCTCTCTTTCTCTTTCTCTTTCTCATTAACAGTTAAAGGGGGAAAAAAGAAAAGAAGAAGTCAATTTGAGAGAGAAAAGGGGGAGGGTCTACGCCCTTTTTTTTTCTTTTTTCTTTTCCAATTATGCCCCGTTCTGAGCGTTTAGTCGTCAATGGCCGTGCGGGTACTGTAGAGAGCGGCCGTCGCATCCCTGCAGCCCCACAACGGGTCTGGACAGAGAAACAACAACAACAACAAGAAAAGAAAGTAATGCCGGTAAATTATAATCTTCTGAGTATGCAGGAATCTCGACCCAACACCACATCTTCTGCCTGTACAGTATCTACACCAAATTCTAAAATGGCACTTTCTTCTTCTTATCCCACTTGTAATATTGGTACTCAAGCAACATCTGCAAATAGTCAGATGCATGATCCAAACTCTCCCATGTTGTATTCTCCCACTTCCTCTTCCTCATTATTATTATTATTTCAATCTCAACAACAACCACCACAAGATCAACAACAATTACAACAACAACTACAATTGACGACTTCCACTGGAGGAAACAGTGGTGCACTTCTCGAAGGTCCACTTCCGCCTGAAGTGCGGGAAATTATTTATAGTCAATGCAGTGGTGAAGCGGCGGAGGTGGCTGAACGGCATGCACGGCGGTTGTTGAGTACAAATCGTCGAGTTCGTGTTTACCGCGAGGAACTGCAGAGTGCGATGGAAGAAGTGCGGGATGTGGCCACACTTGTGCAGCGGCACCACACCGTCCAGCAGGCACTGCGCAGAGAAGTAGAGGAGTTGGATGCGAAGATTGCACAACTCCTGCGAGAAAAACAATATTGTGAGTTACAGCAACAGGAGGAGGATCAGGTAACACAACGAATGGAGACAAAGTTAAGAGATGCGAATGAACGTGTGGAGCTGCTGCGTTCAACCATAGATAATATTACGAAGGGATCCATGGCAGGGTATTTGCTGCTGCAGCAGTTAGTGCCAAATCTGCATTTGGATAATTATATTTCATAGAAAAATATTAGAGAAAACGTATTATCAATATATATATATATATATATATATATATATATATAGGTCTGAGTGAGTGAGTGAATGAGTG